GCCCAGGCTCGTAAAGGCCCCACAGGTGTTGGTCCCCAAGGGAAACCTCTCCGTTTCATCCTGCGGAAAAAAGCAAGCCTGGCTTGGCAACATTTCCAGCAGTAAAAGCAGCTGTGAGAATTTCCTCCTCCTCCTGCTATGGAAGCAAGGGCAGATGGCCGGAGGCCTGTCCCCAAGGGGGTCACGCTGCCCCCCGCCCCGTGCCTGCCTCCTGCCCCGGGGGCCGCCCGCTAGGCCGACGCGCCGCCCCCCCCGCCCGCCCCAGGACCGAGACCTCTCAGCCCGGCGGAGGCTTCGGGCTGGTGTGGTTCTGGGGCGCAGAGCCCAGCCTTCACCGTCGCCAGCCCCGTTAGAAAGGGCTCCGGCGGGAGGGCTGAGCCTGAAGCGGCCCCTGTCCGCAGGCCACGTGTGCCCTGCACGAGGTCCTGAGCGCCCTGGAGTCTGGGCCCGCGGTGCTCGAGCTGTACCCACAGCTGTTTGCCGCGCTCCTGCTGCGGGTCAGCTGCACCCTGGGCGTCCTGCTGCCCCGGAGCCTGCAGGCCAAGGAGAGGAGGAGCGTGGGCTCGGCTGTGGCCCCCAGGAGCCTCGAGCCCTGCAGGTAACCGGCTCCTCCTCTGCCGCCGCGGCACCACTGCGTGCCTGGCGTCCTGGCGGGGGCGTACGGGATGGGAAGGGCGGGCACCACACTGGGGCCCCGACTCAGACTCGGGAGCTAGTGTGTGCCTGGGGAGCTGGGACCCTCCCCCCCCCCCCCCCCGCCCCCCGCCCCAGGGATGATGTTCCAGGCTACACCGTCCACCCTGGCGGTGCGGTTTCCTCGGGCTGTGTCTGGGACAGGCACCGTGGGAGAGGCGGCCCCAAGTCTGTGGGGTGGTGCCGTCCTCAGGGTGGCCCGCGGGGGCTGTGTGGGGACGCTCGGGTGGGCCCAGAGTAGCACCGCCTTTCGGGAGGTGGGGCTGCAGGGAGTATTCGGGGTGCATGTGGGGCCTGGGCTGAGCCCCCGCCTCCACCCCCGTGTCTGCAGCCTCGGTGCTCGGCCCTGGGTCCCTGCTCCTGCTACGCTCTGCACCAGAGCCGCTTCTTCAGGCCGAAAGCGTGCGGTGGCCTCACCGCCTCTCCCCAGGGCCCCCTTCCAGGGGTCAGATCCCCAGCCCCGCGGGGAGGGCTCAGCACCAGCCCCCACACCACTGGCCTGTGCAGGCACCTTCCCTCTCTGCTCTTTTTGGGGGTGTGGGCCCTGGTGGTCTGTCAAGTGGGCCCTGGGGCGGGAGAGCGGGACAGGCAGGGTGGAGCTGCTTGAGGGAGGCGGTGGGCGGAGGGCTTCAACAGCTCGGGCGTCGGTCCCTGGGGCCGTCCCTGGGCCCAGCATAGTGGCACTTCGGAGCCCAAACGACGGCCCCGGGGCCACAGGGCAAAGGGAGGAAGCTGATACCCCGGGGCCTGCAGACCTCCCCACCCGTTCCAGGCGCGTGGGGCCGGATGGGCCCCGGGCCCCGGCCCCGTGGTGGGGACAGACGGGGGCAGCGTCAGTACGCCCCGCCCCGCCCCGCCCCGCCGCCGCCGCCGCCGCCGGAGCGGCCCCGGCCCGGGCGCTCTGGGCGGGGCGGGGCGGGGCGTACTGACGCTGCCCCCGTCTGTCCCCA